GGTACCCTGACAGTACCCCCCCTTCTAGAAACGCCCACCGGGCGGATGGGACCTGGCTTAGAAGGAAAACGAACGTGGAAGGCCCGAAGAAGACGAGGAGCATGCACGTCTATACCAGGAACCCAAGACCTCTCTTCAGGACCATAACCTTTCCAGTCTATGAGGTATTGCAGCTTCCCCCTAGAAATACGAGAATCAAGGATGGACTTGATGATATATTCCTCCTGACCATCCACACGGACCGAGGATGGAGGAGCAGAGCGGGAGGAAAATCTGTTACAAACAAGAGGTTTCAATAACGACACATGAAAAGAGTTAGGGATGCGTAGAGTAGGAGGTAGATCCAGCAAATAAGAAACCGGGTTGATCCTCCTCAGTACCCTGTAAGGACCAATGTAACGAGGAGCAAACTTCAAGGAAGGAACTTTCAGGCGAATGTGTCTGGTACACAACCAGACCCTATCCCCCGGAGAAAAAATAGGAGCAGGACGTCTACGCCTATCAGCATGTGACTTAAACACCGCGGAACTACGTTCAAGAATTTGTCGAGTCTGATCCCACAACTTTCTCAGGTTGGCTATATGAATATCAACCGACGGTATACCCTGGGAAGGAGACACCGACGGAAGAACAGTAGGGTTAAAGCCATAGTTCAAGAAAAAGGGGCTATTACGAGTGGAACCACAAACAAGGTTGTTGTGAGCAAACTCCGCCCAAGGAATCAGACCGACCCAGTCATCCTGGTGTTCAGAAACAAAACAACGTAGATATTGCTCAATTTTTTGGTTAGTGCGTTCGGCTGCTCCGTTAGATTGGGGATGATAGGCCGAAGAAAAATTCAGTTTGATGCCCAACTGTGAACAGAAGGATCTCCAAAAACGGGAAATAAATTGGGAACCCCTGTCTGACACAATCTCATTGGGAATACCATGTAAACGGAAAATTTCTCTAGCAAATATCACGGCCAGTTCGGGGGAGGACGGAAGTTTAGGCAAGGGAACGAAATGAGCCATTTTAGTAAACCTGTCAAGGACCGTGAGGATAACTGTATGCCTATTGGAAGCTGGTAGATCAACAATAAAATCCATAGCCAAACAAGCCCAAGGTTTGTTGGGAACGACTAAGGGCTGCAATAAACCACAAGGGAGATCCCGCGGAAGTTTATTCCTGACACAAACATTGCAAGCCTTGACAAAGTCTTCCACATCCCTACGTAAACCGGGCCACCAGAAGTCTTTGGAGATCAGGCAGTAAGTTTTGTGGATGCCGGGGTGACCAGCGATCTTGCTATCGTGGAAACAGCGAATAATGTCCACTTGGAATTTGGGAGACACGAACAAGCGGCCCACAGGAGTACGTTCGGGAGCAAGAGATTGTTCGTTCTGAATATCAGCGAGCAATGGAGAGTGTATTTTGACATTGGTGTTGGCGATAATATTGACTTCAGGAATAATAGGGAACAAAGTATCCTCTGTAGAGGTGGTAGGTTCGTGCTGACGTGACAAAGCGTCTGCCTTAGTGTTCTTAGAACCAGGCCTGTAAGTAAGCACATAATTAAAGTGTGTAAGGAACATAGACCAACGTGCCTGCCTGGCAGATAATCTTTTGGCCTCCCCCATATACGATAAATTCTTGTGGTCAGTCAAGATAGTAACTGGGAGGACGGTGCCCTCTAACAAATGTCTCCATTCCTTTAATGCCATAATGATAGCTAAAAGTTCTCTATCACCAATGTCATATCTCCTTTCAGTGTGTGATAGTTTCTTGGAAAAAAAACCGCAAGGGTGCAGCGGCTTATCTAAACTTTGTCTTTGGGACAACACTGCGCCTATCCCTGTTTCAGACGCATCAACTTCAAGTAAAAAGGGTAGAGAGGTATCAGGATGAACTAATACAGGTGCTGAGGCAAAAGACTGTTTGAGCGTTTCGAAAGCAGATAAAGCCTCAGTAGACCAGGTTTTGGTATCGGCTCCTTGTTTGGTCATATTAGTGATAGGAGCGATAACAGAGGAGTACCCTTTAATAAAACGTCTGTAATAATTAGAAAATCCAAGAAATCTTTGTATGGCTTTGAGTCCCTTAGGTAAAGGCCAATCTAAAATCGATTTTAGTTTGGTCGGGTCCATCATAAACCCGTCTTTGGAAATTACGTAACCTAAGAAAGTTACCTGAGACTGGTCAAAGCTACATTTTTCCAATTTACAATACAATCCATGTTGTAAAAGTTTCTGTAATACCTTTCTGACCTGTCTATGATGTGAATTAATGTCTCTAGAATGGATTAATATATCATCCAAATATACAATTACACATTCATGTTGGAATTCTCTAAGAACTTCATTGATCAAGTCTTGGAAGACGGCCGGGGCGTTACAAAGCCCAAACGGCATTACGGTATACTCATAATGCCCGTAACGGGTATTAAATGCTGTCATCCATTCATCTCCTTGTTTAATTCGCACTAAGTTATATGCTCCTCTTAAGTCAAGTTTAGTAAAAATACTCGAGCCCTTTAGTCTGTCAAAGAGTTCAGTAATCAAAGGAATAGGGTAAGCATTTCTGATAGTAATTTTGTTCAATCCCCGATAGTCTATACAAGGACGTAAGGTACCGTCTTTCTTTTCTACAAAAAAGAAACCCGCCCCCGCCGGAGAAGAAGACTTTCTAATAAATCCCTTGTCTAAATTCTCCTTGATATATTCCTCTAAAACTAAGTTTTCCTTGGTGGATAGAGGGTATACCGTACCCCTGGGAGGCATAGTACCAGGGAAAAGTTTAATAGAACAGTCATAAGACCGGTGGGGAGGTAAAGTATCCGCCTTACCCTTGTCAAATACAGATTTGAGGTCTAGATATTGTAATGGTATCTGAACGTCTGTGGATTGAGAAGTGTTAGCATAAGAGTTTACGGGGCAAACAGAAGTAACTCTCTGCAGACATTCTTTCCTACAACCCATACCCCAAGAAACGATTTCTCCACCCTCCCAGTCAATCTGAGGGTTGTGTCTCTTGAGCCAAGAATATCCTAGAACCACTGGGACTGCCGGGGAGGAAATTAACAGAAGGGAAATCAACTCTTCGTGGAAAATACCAACAGTAAGCTTAACGGGTTCGGTCTCATGGAATATTACTGGTTCAGATAAAGGTCTACCATCTATGGCCTCAACGGCCAAGGGTGTATCTCTCAATTGGAATGGGATACAATGCTTATTAGCGAAAGTTTGGTCTATAAAGCTTTCTGCTGCTCCAGAATCTAATAATGCCATCGTAGCAATAAACCCCTTTTCCCAAGCTAGAGAGACAGGAATCAGAAGCCTATGGTCTTTTTTATTATGCATAGAGGACAGTAATGAAACACCCAAGGCCCGTCCTCTAAGGGAACTTAGGTGCGAGCGTTTCCCGGACGATTAGGGCAACTAAGACGTAAGTGACCTCTCAGCCCGCAGTATAAACAGAGACCCTCCCTTCTCCTGTACTGTCTCTCAGCCTCAGATAAGCGAGTATTACCTATTTGCATAGGTTCTGGTGGAGTAGGATTATAGGAGTCAGGGTTCTGAAATGAGGGAGCGAGTCTTACAGGAAGTCTATTAACTCTTTCCCGAGTGTTCTGCCTCTGTCTCATGCGTTCATCTATTCTGGAAATGAAGGATATTAAATCCTCTAAATTTTCCGGAAGTTCTCTTGTGGCAATTTCATCTAAAATTTCATCAGACAACCCATTCAAGAAAACATCCATAAAAGCTTGTTCGTTCCATTTCACTTCTGCTGCCAATGATCTAAACTCTAGAGCATATTCTACAAGGGTCCTATCTTGTTGTTTAAGGCGTAACAGGGATCTGGCCGCATTAATCTTCCTCCCTGGGGGGTCAAAGGTTCTTCTAAAAGCCGTGACAAACGCAGTGTAGTTGTAGACTAAAGGATTGTCATTCTCCCAAAGGGGATTGGCCCATCTAAGTGCTTTATCTATTAGCAGGGTTATAATAAAGCCTACCTTAGCCCTGTCAGTGGGGTAAGCCCGGGGTTGTAGTTCGAAATGTATACTTATCTGGTTTAAAAAACCACGACAAGCATCAGGCGAACCCCCATATCGTAATGGTGACGTGACATGGGAAGATGCGCCTACAGTGGCTACTTCCAAACCAGTACTTATCGAGTGGCTAGCAGTGGAACGTATTTCTTCAGACTGGGTACTGGAGCGTGTCAACAAAGTTTGTAGCGCTAAAGCCATTTGGTCCATTCTATGGTCCATGGCCTCAAATCTGGGGTCAGGAGGACTAGCACCTGCAGGATCCATCATGGCCCTGTCGTAATGTCAGGAAACTGACAGGGATCCAATACGCAGAGTGCACACAGAAGGAGGTACGTATACCGGACCTTAGAATGGCCGGACTAACGTAAGGACAAGCAAGAATAGTCAAAAGGTAAGCCGAGGTCAAGGGAGCCGGAGGACAGGTAAGCGAGATACAAGCAGAGTCAAAGGAGAGGAGAGGACAACAGGACAAAAGACAAGCAAGGGTCAAAACCGGAAACACAAGATAAAGAACGCGCTGAGTGA